GTCTGGATGTTTTTGCACCATTAACATATTTTTAGATTAATAGATTTTAAGGCCAAAAGAGTCTTTTCATTTACAATACACACCTGATTTTGAAGGTAAAATTGCTTTCATTTTATGTAATTCTAAACACATAACTGAATCTAACTGCATTTTAAATTAATGAAGGAATGGGATTTCATTTCTCGATAAGATTTAGATAATTGATTTGAGCACCCCCATCAGATGCAGACATCTGCAATTTTTCTGCAGTTATTTCATTAACCAAAGGCCATTATACCAAGACTGAAAACCTCTCTACACCGTCATATTGAAGTGGTATTACCAAGAGGGCAACATAAATAGTGTGTGAAAGGAATCTGCCTTCGGCTGACTGTATGCCGTTATTTGCAATGCTGTTGTTGATCCCAGGGTATTAGAAAGACAAGGTAGATGAGGTAATATGTTGGACAAATGTCTGTTGCTGTAGCTAGAAAGAGACAAGCTTTCTAGCTACACAGAGCTCTTCCTTAGGCATTAGAAAGGTATTCAATGTCATTGTCGTAGCTAAATATAAGGTGGAACAGATTTTTGAGCAGTAGTAGTAAAAGCCCTTTTATCCAGCACTTTACCAACCAGCAAGCACAATAAACTAGCATTTCTGATCTGCACAGAAAGTCTTATTTATAGTGCATTTGGTGTGGGACAAGCAAGGAAGTTTGGATCTTGGAGTAGGGGTTGTGAAGTGGGAGGGCTTAGGATGCTGGATAGAAGGACGTGCACCTCTGGCAGCCCTCTCAATTGGTTCCCAGTCCCCGCTGTTGCTGGTGGAGGTGAAGGATGGATTTGGAGTGCGGAGCATGGAAAGGACTGTGGGGAAAGGGGATGGGAGCACAGGCTCTGGGGGGTGGCAGCTTGGTGCCTGGTGTTGGGAAACAGAAGGGACTTGGGGTGCTGAATAGGGGGACACTCTCTTTTGGCAACCCCTGCAAGTGGCACCCCATCCCTGCTGTTGCTGGTGGATGCTGCCTCCATCCCCTCCAAGGCAGCATGCCTGCCTGCACCAGCGCCTGCATGTCCATCTGGAGCAGCAGTGATGGAGAGCTGCTTGCAGGGGCTGTCAGAGGTACACACCATGAGCCCCTCCCATGCCCCAACCCTCTGCCAGATCCAAGCCCTCTCCCAGAGCCTTTGCACCGCAGTCCCTCCATGCCCTCTCTCAAGCCCTCTCCACGCTCCAAATCTCTCCTTCTTAGTTAACCAACATTTTTAATTTACCAGCATCCCCCATTCTCTCAGCATGTTGGATAATGTATCATAAGTCTGTCACTGGAAAGTCTTTGTCTACACCAGTGTTTCTCAACCAGTGGTACAAGTACCCCAGAGGTACTCGACAGAAGTCTGGGGGGGGGAGGGTACGTCAACAAAACTGAATTTTTGTTTTGAGTTTTTTATAGCATTTTATTATTTTTGTACTTTTTACACCCAAAAATTTAATCACCCGCCCGGCTATGATTAAGTTGTTTAAACAAATGTGTTGCAACAGTAGAAAAAAATTGTGCATGTCTGAAAACTATAGGTACTGGGGGTACTTACAATTTTTTTTAAAGGTGTACTTTATAAAAACATGTTGAGAAACACTGGTCTACACTACAGCTTATGTTGCAAGAACTTATGTCGCTAAGAGTTGTGAATAACTGCCTCCTACCCCAGAGAGACATAAGCACCAGTGTGAACAGCTCTCTAGCTGCCCTCCCCAACATTGGGGGTGGATTAATTAAGTCAACTCTTTCCATTGCCATAGTGGAGCTACACAAAAGATCTTACAGAGTCACAGCATCTGTGCAGCTATGTCGCTATAAGCTGTCTAGTGTAGTCATAGCCTAAAATCCCGTTTAAGGCTCATCTTAAAAAAACATTTGTAAGGTCAGTCTTTTTAATGAGATGGGTTGGTAACCTCTGAAACATCACTAGAACCCTGACTGTGATTGTCTTTGCTGAAATCCTTCTCCAAGATTTAGTTTCTGTTTTTTTGCTTTCTTCTCTTCTCTCTTGATTAGGTTTCCTAAATCCCTATTCTCTAAATTACAGGGAGTCCAGGTTTTTCTTTACGAAACAGGGGCATGATGTTCTAATCTACTATTATCTCAGATGCATTTTAAAATTAATCTCAGCATGCCCTGCTGCGTATTGTCTGTAAAGAGAAGAACAACCATTTTGTCTTCTTCGAGTGATTGCTCATGTGCATTCCAGTTATGTGTGTGCATGCAGCGTGCACGTGTCGTCGGAAGTTTTTCCCTCAGCAGTATCCTTAGGGCCAGCGGGGAGCCCCCTGGAGTGGCGCTGGTATAGTGGCCCATATATACCCCTACTGGCCCCCTCACCCACTCAGTTCCGTCTTACTGCCGTGACGGTCGTTGGAACAACCCTCAGCTCATCTAACAATAGTTGTCTTCAGTATTGTTTGTTTCTTCACTTAGCTTAAGTACCTGCAATTAAGTTAAAGACTCTTTTGTTGTTTGTTGTTTTCATTGCTGCTCCCCGCCGCGGCGCGCCGTGTGCCTGTGGCAAGGCATACCCGGCCCGCAAGGCTTTAAGTCCTGCAAAAAGTGCCA